CTTCTGCCACGCAGTCCGTCCTTGCACGCCCGCGGCCATTCTTGCGTGCGACTTGACCGCTCCCGCCTGCGTCGCAGCCCCCCCACCCTCTGCCGCCCACCCCTGCTGTCCCCACCACCCTGGTGACGTCACGATGACTCACCCCTGTGGCGGTCCTCCAGCTCCACCACCCCGCAGCTCCACCCGCCGCCCAGCGCCGCCCCACCCGGCTCGTGCCACACCGCCAGCGCCTCCACCCTCCCCAGCCGCGGCGCGCCGGTCAGCGTGAACACGTCCACAGCCCCGCGGCCGAAGGCGCCCCGCGCGCGCGGCAGCGCGTGCGACGCGCAGGTGGGCGTGGCGCCGTCGAGGCCGGCCCCGAATATCTCGACGCAGACGTGCTGGCCGGAGGCGAGGCCGCCGGAAAGGCGGTCGCCCGTGAAGAAGCGGAGCCGGTACTCAGAAGGCGCCGTGGCCGGCTGCAGCCCGGCTGCCGCCTCGGAAAGCGCGACGCGCTCGAACCCCGCCGAGCCAGATGGCAAGAGCGTCGCCGTATCCGCCAGCGCGTCGCCGCACGAGGCTGCTGCTGCGCCGGCGGCGTGCCTGCCGCTCGCCTCGCCGCTGCTGTCGGCCTTGCAGAAGACATCCCTGCTGCAATCGCCGCTCGCACCGCCACGAGGCCTTTGCCACCCATCCGCCTCTCTGCCACTGCTGCCGCCGCCGAGGGCACCGCCTCCGCCGACGGCGCCGTGGCATCCGAGCAGCTGTTGGTAGCTCCCAGGCGCCGCGGCGCCGTCCCCCTCCTCGGCGGCTGGCACGCTGTAAGTGGTGAAGTCGCACTCCCCTTGAGCCTCGAGCAGTTGGTCTTCTGTAAATGATATCACACTGCTCGTGTCGCTGGCGCCGCCATCAGATTGGACGTCAAACTCGACTTGCTCTGCAAACTGCTCAAACCGCACGGTCTTGTGCCGCCGCATGTCGCCGCTGTGCCGCGGCTCCTTGCCGCTTCCGCTGCGCCGCAGGGCGCGTGCCGTGGGCAAGCAGGGCCGAGGCGAAGCTGCGCCGGTTGCGGCGGCAAAGGCACCTCCGCCGTTGCTTCCGGCGCCGCCGCTGTCGCTGCTGCTGAGGCTGGCGATGGGCACGAGTCGGACTGAAGGCGCGTGGGGGCTGGGGGACCCGCGACGCCCTGCCAGAGGGCATGCCAATAGTCTGCTCGGGCATTCGCCCGGCTTCAGCGCAACTGCGGTGCTGTCAATCCCCACGTTTCCACCCATCGCCTGCTCCGGATGGTTCCACAGGGACGCCGATTGCTTTGAAACTGCCGTGTGCGCCCCCCACGGCCCAGCCGCGCGCAGCTGCTGCGCCGCCAAGCCAAGGGGGGAGCCGCCGCCGCCGCCTGTGCTGCCGTCGCCGCAGCTGAGAAGTCGGTGCTCGGTGCGCAGTGTGGCAGGTGCCGCCTGAGGCTGCTGCTGCTGCTGCTGCTTGTCGTGCGGATCGTCAGTGAGGGAGCCTCTGTAGCGGCTGAATCGGCCGTCTGCGTTGCCGTCCAGGCCGTCCACCAGGCCGCCACCTTCACCTTCACCGCCGCTGCTGCTGCCCCCTTCACACTGGAGGGTCGGGGCGTGGGCGCAGGACAGCACGGCCTCGAGCTGCTGTAGTGGTTGCTGCACGCTGTCTTGCAGGCCCCTTGGCACCTCCTGCTGCGCCGGCTGCACCACGTTTGCGGTGGCGGCGGCGGCAGCGCCGAGGGCGGCTGACGAGGGCTGCAAATGGGGTCCCGACGTCTGCATGGCGCCACGGCTGCTGTCTGACAGACGCAGGCTACGAGCGTTTTCTCGGCCGCCGCGGACCCAGCCGTTGCACGCAAACCGCCACCAGGCACCTGCACGGCATCGAGTGTTGGCAGCAAGGTGAGGGCTTGCCACGCGGCTCAGACCTGGGGATTCTGCCATGCTCTTGTCAGCACCCAGTCTCTGTGCTTGTGCTGCTCATGTTGGAGCAATCACATGCGCCTCCAAAAAACAGCAACCCTGGCGCTACTCACCCGTGCCTGTCTGATGAACGGTGACGTCATCAAGGAACCACGCGTTGGCGTAACCCACGCCGTCGTGCCAAACGCTCAGTGACGTCGCGTCCGCGGGCTGGGACTGCTCACCGACCATGCACCTCCCAGAGGCGCCGTCGCCGCCGCCCCTGCCAAAGCTACCTGTGTCGAGCAGGAAATCGCGACAGCTGCCGTCTACGAGGGCGTCGCCGCTTGCATTCAGCCGCTGCTCAAGCATGGTGCCGCTCCCCGTGCGAATCAGCAGCGAAACGGTGCTGGCGGTGCCAGCGCCGCGCCGACCGCCGGTGCGCACGACCACACGGTAGCTGACTGCATCGCTTTCGCGGCTGCCAGCACCGCTGCCAAAGCCGCCGCCATCGCCATTCACGCTGCCCGCATCAACGCTTCCGCAGCTACTTCCGCTGTTGTTGCTGCATTCGTTGCCAATGCCACCGTCGATCGTGCTGCCTCTGCTACTGTTACTGCCACGACCCGCTTGAGCCGCCAGTGCTGGTGCATGGTCATAGCGTTCTGCGACCGCACAGCCTCTAGTACTCATGCCAGGGCCTTCTGCTGCTGCTGCTGCTGCTGGTGGTAATGGTCGTGCTAGTGCTGCTGGTGCTGATGCCGTGGTTGCTGCTGCTTCGACTCTTGTTCTGCCGCCTGCTGTGCACTCTTGCCTCCTCGCTACAAAGCCGCTCTTAGGCGCTGCAGACGCCTGCGTGCTGGGAGCCTGTGACTTGTTAGCAGCCGCTTTTTCAGCGGCGGCCCACTCTGTCTTGTGCGGCTGAACCCCCGCCGCCACGTCTGACATGGCGCCGATTTGTCGTTGTTCAGCCCGTGCGGCCAAGGCCGGTGATGCGACACTCTGGCCGCTCTGCCGTCTGAAAATTGAAAACCTGCGTCCGACGTCACGAGGTTGGCTGCCAACACCATCGCCAGTGCCATCCGCATTGCCATTGTCGCTGCTGCTGCGGCGCTCGGCGCACAGCTTGCTGCTGCTGCTGCTGCTGCTGCTTCGGCTGCCGTGTTGGGCTGCTGCTTCCTCTTTGTCGCCACCGCCGCTGGTGGTGCTGCTGCTGCTGCGCCGGAGGCTGAAGAAACGCCTCATGCAAGGCCGAGCCTCGCTAGAGCTGGATCCAGCCTGGACCACCCCAGTGACAGGTGCTCCGGCATCTGCTGCGGCTGCAGCGCTCACGGTGGCAGCTGTAGCAGAGCGTGCCTGCGCCAAAGCCCTGGCACGCGCCAGGGCAGGACTCGCAGGTGCGCCGCTGAGACCACTGATGCCGCTGGTTGCCAGGATCGGTGCCTCACGAACCATGCTGGCAGCCAATTCTCTACGCCATGGGCGCCTTTTGAGCTCTGACTCGTCACCGCTGGCACTACTGCTGCTGCTGCAGCTGCCGCCTCTGCTGGTGCTGCTGCTATTGCTTTCCCCTTCATCGCAAAATGCTCCGCCCCGCAGCCGCAGCACACTGCCACCTGCACCCCCGCCAGTTCTGCTGGCCTCTGCACCCGTCGGCACCCACCTGCCGGGCGACAGACGGCGAGTCGGCAATGGGCGTGTCGCCGCGGCTGCCGGCAGTGCGCAGGGGTCTCCCTTTGTCGCACATGCCTGCTGCCGGCCTGATTTGCTGGTGGCCCCAGCTTGACTGCGGCCTGGTGCGGATGCCTGGTGTTGGTGCTGCTGCTGCTGCTCCTCCTCTGTAAAGAGAGAGTTGACGTACTCCCGAGCAGCAAGGACGCCGCTGCTGGCCGCTGCGACACCCCTCGGAGTGCCGGCTGCATATCGCTCCGCGCCCCTCAGGTGGCGGGAGAAGGACGGCGAGTCGAGGCTTTCTACGCTGCAGCGCAGGGGGTTGGTCGAGGCCGCTGCGCCGCGCCCGCCGGAGACAAGGGTGTTGCGCGGTGTCAGCCGCAGCCGGCGCGGCGCACGCACGGGCGAGGTGGCAGAGGGTGCTGGGGCCCTGGGCTCCAATTCTGTGGCCGCCTCCACCGCCGTGGGCGCCTCCGCCTCCTGATCCGCCTCTTGAAACGCCGACGAGGTTGCGTCTGCTCCTCCTGCTGCTGCCCCTGCCTTCCCAAGAGCCTTCAACTGCTCTTCCACAGCAGCAAGGGTGGCGGCCAGCTCGCCCGCCGACCTGCCTGCTCCCTGCACGCGCTCCAATGCCCCGTCGCCCTCGCTGCCGCCTGCGCTGCCTTTCAATGCTGCAGACACTGCCCAGCTGCCGCTGGGGTTTGCGTCAGCCCCGCCTCCGACGGCGTCCGCCTCTGCTGAGGAGGCCGCCCGTGCGACCGCCATCTGTGCGGCCAGTGACTCGAGCCGCTGCGCTGCCGCTTCCGACGCAGCCTGAAGGCGCAGCGCAAGCTCCGCCAGCGGGCCGCCGCCGCCACCTGGACTGCTGCCCGTCGGTGTTGAGCCCGATGCGGCCGTCGCACCGGTCGTCGCTGCTGCGGAGCCGCGGGATCGCGCCTGTGCGCCTTCTGACCGCTGTTGCTCTGCAGCCCGAACCAGAGATTTCACCTGCGCCTCCAGCACCTCCAGGCGGCGCAGGACAAGCTGCCGAATGCCGGGCGTCGCCCCTGTGCCGCCACCGCTGATGCTGCCGCTGCTGCCACTGCTGTTGGGCGCGGCCGGCGCCGGCAAGCCCAGCCCCTCGCCCACTGCCTGCCCATTCCTTGCCGCCTGCCTCGTGCGCAAATCCTCTGCTACCTGCTGAATTCCAGAGCTGGAAGCCGGCGGCACGGATGCAGATACCACTGCCCGACCAGCAACAAGCTTCGTCACTTGGTCCCGCACCTCCCGCAGCTGCCGCCCAGCTTCCGCCGCCCTCTCCTCCGCCGTGCCGGCCGCGGCTGCGGCCGCTGCCCGTGCGCTGTTGACCTCGGACAAGAGCGCCGCCGCCCTCCGCGCCGCATCAGCAGACACGCCCACGGCCGCGTCCGCGCGACGCCCGACCGCCTGCAGGGCTTCCTCCAGGGCGGCGATGCGGCCATGCAGCTCGCCTGGATACGCCGAGCTGCGCTCAGGCTCCGCACCATGCTGCTGCTGCTGCTGCTGCTGCTGCTGCTGCTGCTGCTGACGTTCAGGCTGCTGCTCAAGGGCCTGCACGCGCGCGTCTATCTCACCCAGCCGCTCCGCCGCGCCGCGCTCCAGCGCCGTCACGCGCGCCAGCAGCGCGCCCGCCGCCGCCTGCGCCGGCGCCTGCGCCTGCGCCTCGTCGCAGCCACTTTCGCTGCCTTGCCCAGCCGCGGCCGGGGGCTTGCGGCGCGCGATGCGGTCGTGGCGAGCGCTGAGGTCCTCCATTTGGTCGCGCAGCGCGTCAACCCGGCATTCGAGCCGCCGCAGGTCACAGGCAACCTCCCCCAGCTGCGCAGCCGTCCAAGCGTCGTCGCGGCTGCGGGCCTCCAATGCAGACGCGGGCGGGGTCGCCGGCGCGAGGGCGGCGCCGCGCGCGGTGGCGCCGTCCGCGGACGCCCGCCGCTGGGTCATTGGCGGCACGAGCCCCCGCGCCCGCCGGCCTTGGTCCCAAGACGCCTGAGGAGCAGCCAGCTGGTTGTAAGGTTGCTTGCCTGCGCTATGCGAGCCGCAGGACCCTGCGGTGCCATTCTACAATTGCGCCATGCGCATGCTCTTGCTGTTTGTAATGAGCGAGCTGTCAGCGGAGCGCATCAACGCCGCGCCATGCAACTCACGTCCGCCTGCACCGCCATCAAGAGCTGGCCCAGGTCCGTCGAGGACCTAGAAGCGTTGCTCGCAGGCCCCTTCGCGGCCGTCTGCGAGGAGCAAGAGGCGGGTTTCAGCGGTTTGTTGACCAGCGTGGAGCTGTCGTGGTTGCACCGAACTATACTTACTATACGACACCACAAATCTTGCCACTGCTGTTGCAGCGCGTCGTCGTCGGGCCGCGGGGCATCCATCAGCCCAGAACGCTTTCAGCCGTGTTCGTCAGATGCATTGAAACGCGCGGTCAGTTGGTTACCCATCGAATAACTTTGTTTACAAAACAATGAGCGGACACCGGACGCAATCTGCGACACAGCCGGCCAGCAAACACGTTTGCCGCGCACCTGGCCAGCGCTGCGCCGGTGTGTCATGGCAAGCAGGCCCCAGCGTCATTCTTGTTGTCCATCAATGGAAGTTCTACTGTAACTCTTGCAACAAGCCAACCTCAACGCCCCAAACCTGGCCGCCTCCATCTTACTTGGCCTCAGGCCCAACACCTGGCGCGGCTGCACCGGCCGCGCCCTCAGCCGCACCCGCACCCGCCTCCGGCTCCCCGGCAGGCATCACAGGCACAAAAGCAGCCTGTTCCGCTTCCAATCTGTCGAGGAGCGCTGTGGTGGCGGCCACGGCGGGGTTGACGAGATCGCGATTGAGCTGCTTGGTGCGGTGGCTGAGGAGGGACAGCCTGTGGGGGGGGGGGGGTGTGGAG